CCGCCCTTCATCTCGTCTCTTCACGCGATAGATCGCCTCTATTACGTGCGTGTGAACAGTCGATGAGATTGTTGATTCGAAAAACTGCTGCTTATTTTTTTTAACAGAGTTAATATAGAGTTTGCACGAGTGAGGCGAAAATGTGCTGGTTACTTTTTTCCCCGAAATATTTCTATTTATCAGACGGGAATTAGACTTGCAGATATACGAGGTAGATAGTTGGACGAAAATATCGGATAAGTTTTTAATTATGCAAAATTGCAGATTCATTTAAAAACGAGCTTATTAATCTTTCGAGTGGAAGATGGCTGTAGCTTTTTACAGGTGGTAAAAACAATGAAATCATTGAATTACAGTTGTTAACGCTGGTTCAGAATTTTACTCAACATTACTATAACAAGTCAATGTAAATGTATCAAGAGATTGATAACCGAGTTGAATCATCTGCCGTGAATTGTGGATAACGACACTCATTGACTTTCTTGCATTCTGTTTAAAATAATTTTCTCGATAACGTTTATTCGACAAGCAATATAATATTGATTAATATTTAATTGTACAAAACTACATTTAGAATATTACAAGATATTTTTATTTTATTTATCTCACGGCAAGTCGACATAAATTTGTTAAGTACTCAAAATAAATAAATAAATAAATAAAGTTGCTTTTCTGATTACTTAGGAAAATTAACGTTAGATTTTATTTTCTTTGATTCTCATTTAAATTATTTATGAAATCAATAATCTGTCGTCTTAATTAATGCGACAGTTGAGAAACATAATTTTCAGCATGCTAATTATGAGTATTTTATTAGTATATTGCATTAAAATAAATTGAATTTTTCTAGTCAAGAAAACATGTCGTATGTTTTATCAAGAATATTTGTGAACAAATTAGATTTATTTAAAAATTTCTCTTTTCAAACTACCTTTATTGCAAAATCGTAACTTTTCATTGATTAATAGTAGATTGGAAAGCTAAAGAATACGAATTGATATACATAAAAAACGTTCGATATCATTTTTCTCCTTTGAAAAAGTTGAGCACTACAAATAGCCGTGTGCCTGCATTAAAAAAGAGAACGAGATAGAGAGAGAGAGAGAAAGAGAGAGAGAGAGAGAGAGTGAAAACGATATATAATAAGCGCATGAAATTGAAGGGAGGTGAAGCAACGGAGGTAAACCTCGAAATGTTCCAGAATATAACTTTGCAACTAAATCGCTTGGCCATTATAAGGCTTCCCTCCAAGATTTCAGCAAAATATTTTCCGCCACTTTGTGCTTTATCGGGGAATACGATGCCGACCTAGAAGAAGGAGGTCTAAAACGCTTCGTGACGTCATCTCTGGGTTCGTTTACTCAGCAAACATCCTTGAAAAGCACGATCCGCACAATTTCTCTCTCTCTCTTTCTAGTCTTTTTTTTCTGTTTTTTTGTAAAGAAGAAGTTTCAGTGGCAAGGAGAAAAAAATAGTCAGTGAGAGGGAGAGATCGGAAAACTCAGATGCTTTATGCACGAGGCTATTAGCAATCTCCCTCTTGATTAGCTTCGCTGAGCAAACTAATAATGAGAATCTTTTGTAAAGAGTGCGCGAGTACTAGTTTCTGATTATACAAACTTTTTTCTCAAGTGCGCAACTGGCGCCAGAGAGAGAGAGAGCGAGAAAGAGAGAGAGAGCAACAATTTGAAGTTTATTGCAGACTTTTACTTGGATTTTTTCTATTTGCCTGGCTGTTACGTCGAGCGCGCTTTCCAAACTAAACTTGGTGATGTTTGCTAATGAGCTTCTATTATCAATTCAATATCGACCTAGTTTCTGGATTCGTATCAATATAAAAAAGCTTTTTTTCGCTTTTTATGAATATCCTGCTTTGTGCGAAATAACTAATAATGCGAAAATCCAATAATCAATCGGAATTCATTGCCGGTTGTGTCTCTTATAAATACTAATAGAAAGAGAAGGCCGCAAGACGAAACTTATATTCTTTTGCCGCTCGCGAAGTGAAAAAGTGAGAAACAGACATACTCGGACCATAGGGAAGATTTAAACGTGCCTGTATATATATGTACATATCCTTTGGACTAAAATCCATTTGGTATGCGAGGTATGCAGCCTTGGGCGGAAAAGAGTTAGGAAGAGATCTGGGCCGCGCTCGAATTTCCGAATCTCATTACGGGAGAGACGATGGGCAGGCAGGTCGATGCGCACAGAGCTGTTAAATTATACAGCCAACCAGAGAGAACGCTGACACTATCTATCTGTCCATCTCCTGCCGCAGTGTAAACGCACATCGAGTGAGCGAATTCGTCTCCCTCTCATACGTATACATGGAAAGTTTAGCCGCTTGTAATGGGTCGCATCTTTCAGACTGCTTTTCCCATTAACGTTGTTTGCACTCAAGAGATAGATCCGATGTATATATATATATAAGCATCGTGTCACCGATGCTTATCCGTTAATACTGCTAATTATGAATTTTCTTGTGAGATGGCACGACAGACTCATTTTTCATTCCGACTCGCTGGTGGTGGGATAATTATTATTACGCTACTCCTGGACTTTTAAATCGAGATCCGCCATCGATAAGGCTGTGCTTGTCAATTACTATACAATATGTGGGTGTTTTATTTTTTATTCCTGTCAACTATTTGTCAACAGCATGATACTTGAATGCATAATAAGCAATTCTTATCCAAACGAATAACCGTATCATTTAAAAACCAGAAATTTCTTGAATATATACTGATACATGATGTGAAGAATATTTATTTCATAGCGCTAATTGAAACGAATTTTATACTCTAAAGTGCTTATTATAAACTTGATAAAAATTTAATTTACATTGGAAATTGTTCTAATATTGTCACCGATTATGTAGCTGTCGAATAGCACTGTTCCTCCATAAGCTTTCAGTATGGTAACTATGCTAAATTATTTATATACTCAATACGATGGTAATGTAATTTAATACGATAACACTGTAATTTTCAAAAAATAAACATTTTCATAATTTACATTATTTTCGTTTTATTAAAATAAAACTACCATTTGATCATGATTTTTTTATTTATCAGTCATTTTATATGAAAAGTAATAATTTCAATTTAGATTATTTTACATATTTGGATTTCAAAGTTACGTGTGAACGAGTTTAAAGTTACTAAATTGTTATTAATCCACTTACAAATATTTAGCCATTGTTTTCTCACTCGATCATTTAGTCTCTTAGAAATTTTCTTTCTAAAAACTGAAATTTCTTTATAAAAGAATACGCCAAGAAAAAGCTCTCAGGAAATCGAAATATTACGTCTTGATTCGAAAAACAGTATGTCATTCAATTTTTGACAATATAAATTGATCAGTTGATTTTTATTTCACAGGTTTTATTAAAATACTTAAACATAAGTAGTTAAATTCAATTCCAAAAAAATTTTTCTTATCTTCGTTTCGTTCGATAGAGCAAGTGAACAAAGGCCGAAATGGTTATGGCGCGAGCCATTGTGCGGTTGCATGAATGCCACGGGGAAGGGGATTCACAGTCAATACGCACATCGAACTTAATGACCCAGTGAATAAACGCAATGACCCTTGATTTTCGTTTTTCGTCAATCAGACACAGAGCATTCTATTATCCAAGAAAGCATTTACAACATAAAAATGTTTCTTGAGTTGTTCTTTGTCTCTTTCTCATTGAAGTTATTTTCCAGTTTGTAAATTCTACATTATGATGATGATTTTCGTGTTAGATTTTTAACCATAAGAAGTTAAATCAAATTCAACAGTCTTAACGGACAGAATTCAGTCGCTATGAATAAAGTAAAAAGCAAAGTAAAATTCAGGAGTAAAAATATTAAGCGAAATTGTCATCTTTTTTTGTTTTAGAAATAAAAAAGTAGGTATCTTAAAAATTTCTTTCGACAGCAAAATAACTTTCAAGCTAGAACTTAGTTTTTTTTAAGTACAGGCTACTTAAAAAAGTAGAGGAAAAAGTTGCTCTTTCCGAACTACTCCACGCATATTTGCTTTTACTGAATTCTTAGACGCTGGAGCTTATAAATTTGCAACTTACTTTCTCGTAAAAACATTTTTTGACAGCGATAATTTAAGAATAATGATAAAAAACTGAAAATAAAAGGTGTAATCACGAATGTACAAATAAAAAAAAAATAAAATACAGTACTAGCTTTGAATCTTCTTTTCTAACTCGCTCAAAGTATCGTACATAACATATATGCTTCTGACTTCCGGCGATAATAGAGATGAAGAAAGTCCTCAGAGGTAATAGCCATTAAAAATTCCATAAAATTGTAATGCTAGTACATAAAATACAGGTATTACGATAGCACTGTCTTAGCAGTTAAAGTGTATGAAGTTAATACTCTTTCACTCGTCGTTAAATTATATATGAGGTCCATTCTATGTCATAATGTTTATGTGAAGGTGTAAAAAACATTAAATATTAAGACTATTTTTTACACGTAAGCGGAAAAAATTTTTATTTTTATCTCAATATTAGTCTTCTTATTGGCGACCAATAAAATCTAACCATGCCTAATAACAAATTTGAATTGTAGTGTAAATAGACCAAAAGTTGATGAATGTATATTAAGCATACAGAGAAAATGGGATAATAAGTCCTTTTTTGTCTGTGTTGAAATAGAGCCAAACTAGTGTAATTTAAAGAGAAGTTCAAAAAATAGCTTAAAATCAACTTTATTTATGCAACTGATTGAAACATTATCATGACAAATGCTAAATTATTGTACTTACCTTTCTGATTTTGTCATTTATGAAAATAATTATCCACTGTAACAAAAAAAAAAGATACAAGCAATCGAATTTTTTTTAATAATAATATAATGGTATTTTAGAAAAAATAAAAAACGTTTGTTATTCATTCAAAAAAAATTCTATTTTATTGCTAATAATAAGAAATAGATAGTAATGAATTATAATCACGAAAAAAATCCACACGCAAATGGAATTTTGACATTTATTGGATATTTTTATAAAGTTATTTTTTTTATTGTAAAACAGATATATTCAACATATTCATAGATTTTTACGTTGACGAATTTTCCCACATGTAAGATCGTAAGTTTATTTACATATTTCGAGGAGTCTATTTACAAAATGTATTATGACAGACGTATTTACACGAATAAACTATTTGAAATCATAGTAAAACAAAATTTCAAACAAACATTTTCATTTACATACATACATGTGATCATTATCGTAGATATATAAAGACGGAAATTTTATTTTAAAAATAAGTTTCTTAAAATTTAACGATTTTTAAACTATTTAATCTTGCAAATATAAACAATACTCGAGGAAACAATGTGAGCGATTATGAGTTTTTTTTCGTTACCATCGTAACCGGACATGAATGGTTGGAGTTGGATAATTATTTTTTTTAATATTGAAATGTTCAGTTAATATATGAATCAACAGCCCCGTACACGATGCCGAAACCACATATACAATTACTTTTTTTTGGCATATAGACTCGTTATGCATTTAAAACTTATGTCCTAAGTGTAGTGTCGTGGCAGTTCAATGACAATGAAAAGTGATCAACCCCATGCGAGAAGATAGATACGTGCGAGAATTCGGAAAGTACTTGCAGTTACACGATGTGTCCCATTACCACTTTTACGAACACGTCGCTCTCACTTATTTACACGTTCTTCGTATAAGTTGGCGCAGGATGCGTTGTGATAGAATCTTATTATTAATATTTATCATCGTTATTAACGATTGCAAAGATCAAAGAACGTAATCAACTTTCCTTCTCTCGTTTCAGGGAGTAGATCATTCGGGTAGGGCTCATCGAACTCCAAAGTCCAGTAATAACAGAAGGGACAGTACAAGCAGGCAGCTACTTTGTCGCAGACCCGAATTTTTCCGACTTGCTGCCATCTTGTCACCTGAAATAACAGAAGAATACGGTGGTTGTTTTATCTCTCGTGTTATTTTATCGTATTAACATTGTCTTAAAAAATACGTTAGAAATCTTATTGCATCGTCTAAGATTGACTGATAGCAGATTGTTCTAGATCTACATTTTTTCAAATAAAAACCATTAAGTTTTCACAAAGTAACAATTTTTTTGACATATTATCTATACTTCAACTTTTAAAGACTCAATCCAATCAATTTAAGTTGTATCTGTTGCATAATCTGTTGCACTATAACTTGTAACTGCTTCTCTATATGGAAAACTGTTATTGCAAAGTTATATTTTTAATTGTTACTCGTTTTATTCAATTCAACGAGTACTAGTCGTTACTCTTTAGTTTGAAATTCATGAATAACTCAACAGTTTCTTCAGCAAGATAAGTTATATCAAACACCCAGAGTATGTTTTTGTATGATATCCATTTCCGCAAAAATAACAATTCAACTTGATTTTGAGTTGGGAATAATATAAATGTTATTCTACCAGTTGTATAAATCAATGTTTCATTTTTTGCGCACAATGTGCATTTTTTTAAATACATTTTATTGTGCAAACAATCTATGTGATTCTTTCTTTGGTATTCGATCTCAATATATTCTGCAAACTCCATAACTTGTTTTTCTCACCTTTTACGTAGTACACTGCAGTCCTTTTTGTTTAGCGTCAATGCCATGTTTCTATTTAATATTTTACTTTACATTCTCAACATGCATTTCATCTACTTTTCTGTTAGTTTGTTCGCATTGGTTTTAGTTCTCATGCCTATTTATGAAAGCCTCAAGATGAAATTACATACCTTCGGTGACGAAAACGAAGATTGAAGCGGGTTTGGTGTTGGAAGCGCTGCAGGTATAATTGCCAGTGTCAGATTCAATGGCGTTGTTGATCGTGAGTCGACTTTGCGTTAGCCCTGGTTCAGTTTGTACGGTGACGCCGCCGCGCGTTGTGTCATAATTAATCATGCGGTTGTTGTGGTACCAAAAGACGTACTGAGGTGGCGTTGGACTCTATAAAACGAAAGAACAATCCGATATGTAGATATAACTATTTTCTCACGTGCATCTTATACGAAAATACGATATTTAAATAAAGTTGTGCTATCATAAAGTATACTAGTAAGAACTCATTGCATTCATGTAGCAACAAAACTTATGGAACTACCATGATTGACATTTAATTTTCTAGGAAAAACAATTTTACCAGTCATGTTACATTTCTAGTTTTTCAATCATGCAATCTTGTATTTTATTTGGACAAGAACATTTTACATTAAAAAAAGTTTAATAAAGAATAATTTTTAATCTTTGAGTCTATGAATATTTTTATTAATTGACGGGCGAATAACTTTTTTTTTGCTTGTCACCATAGTATAGAGAATCAAATATTGCCTCATATTTCAACAAAAAAGTTTCATTGCTAAAAACTGACGGTCACGTATTTGGTCAATTTGATATTTTCAGTGAAGAGTTTAGTAGAATTATTACGTATATTATAGAGATTAAATTAGTTATTAATGATTACTAATCATTCAATGATCTAACGATCACAAAGGTAGAATTCATTATTATTTCAACAGTATAATCGGCTGATAATAATAAACACTAGAATCGTATTAAAAAGGTTACTTTTGATGATGATATAGTAATTTGAGTAATAAATAAACTCTATTGACTTTCCATCAATCCTTTATTATAATTTAGCGACAGTTTCAACTATTTTGATATTAATGTTCTCTGGTTCATTTCAGGCTAAAAATTACTATGAACAGAGTAAACCTAATTTTCTAACATAAAAATATAATATTATTAACTAGAAAACAAGATCTTGCCGAAGAGTTGGTAAACAATACGATAGTCAGAGGTATAAACAGTGTGACACTCTATATACACATCTGTATGTTGTGTCATACTGGTTATAGATATTACTGTGATCTCTTTTACTAGCTCTTCAGTAAGCTTTTGTTTCCTGGTTAATATTACGTTGATTGTAATAAAGGATTGATGGAAAGCCAATAGAGTTAATTAATTACCAGCGTTATATTGTTGTTGGCGTCTATACATACACAAAGAACTTGAATTAAAGTGAAAATTATATACTGTAGCATATTAGTAAGAAAATAACGAATTATGTAATAGGTTATGTGTTTGTGTGTGTACACACACACACACACCCACACACACACACACACATACTGATGCATACATATATATACTGTTTCAATACGTAATATAATCAAATCCATCGGGGGACAAAATGGATATAATATTTTAATTAAAATTAAATTTTAATTTATTTAAAATCCTAACGAATCGTAAAAGCCTCGTCTGTTGAAATATGAAAATATATATAGAATAAATTCAATCTATTAATTTTAAATTCTTTTAGTACTGCCACATAGGTCACTTCTAAATAAAACATAACTGGAAAATGTTAGAATTCTAAAGTACATAAATAGATGTATAACATTTCGGCATGAAATAATGAGTTTATTATTTTCACTTTGATCCTTGTGAGTGTGTGTTATACTTATCGCTCGAAAGAACTCCGTCGAAAGCACTCGCGACACTTATAAAAATAAAATTTGCCTGTGCCCTTATTTGTTTTGAGCATCAGGATTACTAGGTCAAGAGCCGTCGGGTGCATTCACTGAGAAAGCTTCGAAAAATCCTAGTTCCATATATATGAAATACACGTGATGGTGAGAAGAATTTTCGAAAAAAAATCGTACTTGTTTTACACAAGGATATCATTGGGATTTTTTTTCATTGTGATTGAGGCCACGTACTTTTTCTATAATGCAGACGAGATTGATAATAGATCTGACATCTACGTGGTGCTCTTCACTTCCCAGTATGAACGCTTCGGGCGTTACTACTTTCAGATTGACGAAGTAAGACAGAATTCCTGTGCTGCGGGAAACCTGTAACAGAAATCGCAAGCAGCTGTTAGCACTATCATTGCAAAACACAACGAATTTGCATATTATTTTAATTATTAATAAATGCACATAGTTTAACTATATTTGTGGATTAATACTTGGGCACAATGTCGCCTTGTAGAAGTACGCAAAATAGTTATTTTGAAAAAACGAAAAAAGAAATGAAAAAACCTAAGGTAAATAGTACGCGACTAAACGTTAGAATACTTGGTGTGCGCTGTCGCGCAGACGAGTGCAAATAAAGTAAACTTTTCAAGCAATCGTTCTGTTTTCTGTGGTTATCATACGCCAAATATTCACCAAGCTGGAAGGTGGTAGTACAGTGTAGCAGTAGGTTGTGTGCGCGCGCGCGCAAGTTTCTGGTGGCGCGGAGTCTCTCTCGCCTATTCTCGGCAAAATTCCGCGGCACAGTTTATTCATAGTTGATTATGCTTATAGTTTCTAGTTCGCAGTGGCACGCGGCTCGTTTAATTGCCCAACCTCACGTCACGGTTTTCTCCGCGTATATATACCAGTGGTATTTTCTGTCGCTGCGTTGCCGCGACTGACTAGAGTGTCCTGTGAATGTAGACGATTAGCGTTTTCAATGGAATTTCATGGTTTTACTGTAGCTATTGGATTTGCTTATATGTGTGTGTGCGTCTGTGTGTGCATGTGCGTGTATGCACGACACTGTGAGTGCTTCCATTATAGTACTTCACAGTTTGAAGTTTCTGCAAATGAATCGATATATCGTTTTACTCTACTGCAGACAATTACAAATTGGAAAAACTCAATCTATTGATTAATTTCGTTCTTTGCTACTTCATTTTATAAATTTTTTATAAAGTATCCAAGCTATAAAAAAGATATTTTTTCGTATAAATACATGGGTGATTATTATTTTTTTAATCTCGAAACACCGTCGCAAAAGTTATAAAGATCGCGAGATTGAAGTATGTTAATAATAAGGGAATTTACATTTTGATGGATGTTTTAAAAATGAAAAATAATCAACATGCATCGCCTCAAAAGAATATCGTCGTGTATATGTATTAGTATACCAAGAGAACTTTGATCGTGCAGCATCGTAGTATTCAAACGGAATTTACATAAAGGAGAGCGACCACTCACTCCTGCCTACATCCTATAGCCTTTATCCCCTGGGAAGCTATCGATATATCAATAAAATCATCATTTCAAATCTCTATCTTTATATGGAGCTGTTTTCAAATGTTACATCTATTTTCAGCGCTTTGCATTAAATATACACAAAAATCACAAAATACAAAAGAAAAATTCATCTTATCTTTATTTCAATTACATGTGCATATTTAATATCGTCATATATTTTCGTCGTAATGTTATACATTTTTTCCTCAACAATATTCATTGTGATCGAAATCCTTGACTAATTTCAGTTTAAAAATTAATTATGAAAAAAGTATGTCATCGTGTCTGGACGATCAGTATTTATAGTTTGATATATTATTAAATAAGTTAGAGGTGTATTACGTATCATCCATAAGTTATTTATCAAAATATTGAAATAATTCCTAGTATAAAATGTATAATTGCTTATATTATAAATTCACATACTAGACCTAGCGTTATTAACATTATAGAAGTATTATGAATTATAATCAATTAGAAACAAATTAGTATTAACGATAAAGGTAAAACATTTGGAACGAGATTGCATAGTCCTTTCTCAGGACCTCGTTAAAGGTATATATCCAGTCGTAGAACTACGAGCACCTGGCGTGTAAGTGTGTGAATATATAAGATAAGCCACGTGATGCGAACAATGCGGGCTAATGCCCATAATTAAATATCTATTAATTACTCTCGAACGCAACGCAAAACGATGGTCTTCATGGTCCTTCTTTTCGTGATTGTCGAGCTCTCGTGACGATGATGAGCCAGGATAGAACAAGAAAAACTCTCACGCTATTCAGTCGTCGGGAGAACTCGAACCTTTTTCTTTCTTCAATTCAAGCTTATATATATATTTACTCACTCGATATATATGTACACACATACGAGTAATCTCAAGTTCTAAGTCAAAGCGTTTTCATTATGCGACTAAAGCCTTTTTATTGATTTTCTCGGGCAAGCACGCGCGTGTATTTTATGTGAAATGTATTTACGTCGACTACTTCTTTAAGAGATTACGCTTTTCTCGTTATTTATCTTGCGTTTTTTCAGAAGTTGATCAACTTCCGTCGGATATTTCATTTATTACTATTAAAGTTTGAACGCTTAAAATAAATATTGGAGTTGATTTATTGCAGGACTGTCTATATATGAAAGTTATGCAGTTGTAGAAATGTTTATTTTACGAGATTCTTTATTACCAATTTATAATCGAGTGGCCCTGTAAGAATAAATCTTTAAATGTCAATAAAATTGACGTGATAAGTCAACAGTCGAATTCCATATCTTCTATTTTAAAAATAATAAAAAATGGAATACTAATCCCAAGCGACACGATAACTAGAGCGTCTACCTCAGAAAGAAAAATAAAAAGTATTTATTCAGCATATCTCAAGCATAAATTTATCCTCGAGCTTTCAATCTGACCGTTTTATTATCCTCGGAATTGCCTCACCTCTAAGGTAGGGATGTTATCGCGCTCATTCCTTTCTTATTTCGTGCAATCGAAAAATTCAATTTTCATTCGCAGACCGCGCAGCAAAGAAAACTCTCTAGCGACTGAATATTCTCTCGTCAATTATTATTACGTTAATTATTCAATTATTACGTTGGTGCGCGGTGGCGCTGGTCAATAAGCAAACTGGATTTTCAATCTCAGTAGCAGCTTATTCCGCGCACTGAAAGCACAAGCTATGTGCCGCACGTGCGAAAGACAGACCGAGAGGGGAAGGAAAGAGAAAGAGAGTGCGCGGTCGGCGCTAATGAGCGTCCGGGATTAAGGTAGCTCGGAGTCTCGAGACTGGCGCGTTCGCTTTTGTTTATTGCGCTTTGAAAACCAGCACAAGGAAAATGGGATCTCTCTCACTCTCTCTTTTGAGCGTCTCAGCCTCCTCGTAGAACCTGCTTTATCAAGATTTACATCACTCAAATTTTCTTGCAAATATCGGCGCAAGTAACATCCCGAAAAATGGAGTAATAGCATACCTTTGAAGATCCTAACATTGCTATATTCGAGTACAATTACAATTTAAACAATTTATCAGTCTTTTGAATAATTTTTTATTTTTAATTGAAACATACATAATAATATTAATAAAAGCAAATAATTATTTTGTTTAATAAATTATTATAATTGTTATTAATATAGGAATATTGAAAAATCAAAGTTGTAATATTTTATCGCCCATGTTTGATCATATCTTTATTTTATCATCATTATTTATCGGAATGCGATACTTTTCAAAAGAACATTCATTGAGTAACAAATGTAACCCGTAAGTAGTGTGGATCATTGTTTGGTCAGGCGGTCGCAGTCGTATTGCACCGGTAAAGAAATGTATACTCGATTTTCCCGAGTGCAGTAGCTAACGAGAGACGCCTTTGCCGATGAGGTCATCCGCAAACCGAAATGTAAATGAGTGAGTGTCGAACTCGTGCATAGTGCGTCTGTTGTAACGAGTTTGTTGTCCTCTCTTCGTGTCGATTTGATTTCACTTAACCTACTGAGTAATTGTATGTTTCCATCTAGGTGAATGATCATTCCCCATTTTTTTTAACAATGAGACGTAGATTATGAATATTCCTTGGGTCGAAAAAAGAAAGTATTGAAATAGTGCTACAAGGTTGGCAACGCTGACATCCGATTAAGGTTATAAAAACTTTTTATGCGTGCTCATTTAGAGAATTATCCATACATCTATGTCGGGGAAAATTTGAAAACGTTTTCCGACGTTCGCTGATTTGTTTAAATTTTTATATTTATACTCTTAAATGCTATAAAAATCCTTTCAGCGTCTAAATTAATTTTGATTATAATATTTTTACAGTAGTTCACAGTGAATTACAAGAGATAACTTCGATTTTACAGTATTTACGACAGCTACTGCCACGTAAGCCATTCGTTAGTATTTTGATAAGTACTTGGGAAAGGATGAAATGCGAACACTTACGCGAGCTGTTGAAATGAAATGGCTGGTTGAAATATATGAAAAGAGAGAGAGGCGGAAGATTTTCGTAGGGAAAAACGAGAATGCTGCATTGAGGGAAAAGTAGGTACGAGTGAAAAGCATCTGATGCGCGCCCGCGCGTATAGGTTTGAATGCCGTGCGGCGTGCGGTCTCTCTCACTCTCTTTAATATTTAGGAGCTTGTAAATTCTACCATACAAAAGCTAACGTTTCGCCGAAATTTTCTCCAAGAAAATTCTCTGTACAAAATGGAACACCTTTAGTTCAATTCGAATGGCGTTCGAATATGTTCATTGCTCAATGAATCAATATAACGACCAGATTCTTTAAAAGTTAATGCTAAATTTTGTTGGAATACATTTTGATAAACATTGTATAAATTTTCCTAGTAAAAATAAGCTTAAAATAGATTAATTGCATTAATTCCATGATTTAAGCTTTTCACTGCAAAATATTTACGGAACAAACATCATACTACAACGTTATTTGTTATCAAAATCACGCGCAGAGATAACTTGATTGAGTACTCTAGTATCACAATTGAGGAGGTATAATCCTAACCTCGGTGTACAAGTTTTCTTTATCGTATTGTTGTTAGCACTTTGAATTCTACGCAATTTTCTGTATCAATATATTGTTGCCTGGATATCGACGAGTTCTTTTACGATACGTATGTTTTTCTTTCAAGATTCACTTATTTCGAGGTTAGCTATTTTCATTGAAGTTATAGAAAAAGAACCCACCTGACATTCATAGGTTCCATTATCACGCTCCTGTACATACTTGATTTGCAATGTCCAGTCATCCGAACCTTCAGGATGCAACACTTGAAATCGTTCGTCATTGGTGTACGTAAAAGTTGAACTTGTCAGCACATGCCAATCTCGTCGTCGTATCCACGAAACCTAAAATGATCAATTAAATAAAAATTCATTATGTGAGTGGGTTTTTGTCGGAAATGACGCGCGAGTATGCGGGGCGGGGGAGGGGGGAATCAGGAACTTAATTTCAGCCTTGAATGTGTGTGTGTGTGAGAGAGAGAGAGAGACTAACGGAGAGAGAGAACACAAGTGATGAAATTTGTGGGCGTAATATGAGAAAACATTGTCGTCTACTTTGATGAATGCGTACCCTTTTGTCCATGTCAACACAAAGAGTCAAGAAGCAGAACAAGTTCTATCAATCAAGTGTAATTTGGATGATAATGGAATGCTGAGTAATGTTTATTGCCATGGAGGAGAACTTAGCAAAAGTAGCTTGGAATTCTAATTTTATCGGCTGCGTAAACGAGACGACATAGTATTGCATACAATCAAAAGGTTAGTAGCTGTGGAAACCACAGTGATCATTAATTACTGCATCTAAAGAATTTCAATTAACAGCGTCATTGTCACCTGTCGTAGAATAAAGGAACTCATTACTGCAATAAAAAGAAAAAATACTTAAAGCGTCTTTCACGCTCCGGCAAAAGTGAAAGAGATTTCATCATAAAATGCTCGGCAACAAACAAAAAAAAAAGCCGCTTGTTGGTCAAAAGAGCGCTTATAGCCATTGAAAAGATGTCGTCGAGAGCGCCTGCTGCAATTCATTAGAGCTTTCAGCACTGCAGTCGGAGCGATTAGCCCAGAGACAAATTAGAGCGTGAAATTCGTACTCTCGCGCGAACAAAATGTTATTGCAGAACGATTGAGAGTTCGCTGTGGTGGTGGTAGTAGCTAATGGAGTTACATCGGTCGAACAAAGATACACGGTACCTCTGAGACTCAGAGTCGTGATATAAACAGGAGGAATTAGCACTTGCTGTGTATGCTACACTATTATTATCGCAAGTGTTAATGGGAACACTGAGATTGAAACGATCTTTCACCGGATAGCAGTTCGTATATTTTGTAAGTTACGATTATAATTTATCTCAGTTTGCTCACTGTATTTCAGGAATAATTTTACTATTACTGTATTAATCGAAAAAGTAGCCTAACGAGGTAAAAAGACACGTGACAATCGAATTCCGCGTGAATTTTCAATAAGTTCAATGCTCGAAGTTGATTTAACTCGCATATATTTAGAGAGGCCCTCGATATTCAATTTAAAAAATTAACACATCACGGAAAGTCTTCGATTAACTATATTCGCGAGTGCAAGATGAGAATTCAATAAGCGATACGAACTGACGTCTTGCAACAAACTGCAAAACTTTTGAGCGGTTGAACAGAAGAAAAGGAAAAAAATCGACAATGATTATAAGCTCCTATAACGTTGAGAATCCCATCTGAATAGCACACCAATCAAGTACATAATTACCATCCTAGCTGGCGAGGCACTTCACAAAGCAAGACCGATTCCCGCTGGAGAGCCGTTAATTAGCGCATGCTATTTACGCGACTAGCGACTACAGTGCCAACTTCTGAGAGAGAGAGAGGGAGAGACTACAGTACTACTATTACTACTACCCAAAGAGCCGGTTAAGTTTCGTTTCAAATTGCCTCGATAACGACGCGCGCTTGAGCTTTGAATGTATACTTGATTGGACGCTCGCGTTATCTCGTTCTTGTACGCTCCTGTAACACGTCTACTTCTTCGCTCGATCGCATCAAATCACACTCGTGTGCGCGTTCCAAACTTGGGCTTGCTTCCCATTGATTCTGCGCGTTGATTTATTCGATTTTGCAGCTTGTGCGAAAAGAAAGACGCATCTCGAATTATTAAATTCAATTTGCTCAAGAGAGTATTTCGGAGGTGCAGGATTGCCAAGTGCAAATTCTAATTTGATGAGATAGTCGTGGAGCACCCAGACAAGATTGCCGATAACTCAATCAAATTATAGGAGTAATCGAATATTACTCGTCGAGCTGTAACTGCAATTATCGAAAGCGGCCAGGTAGAATAATTAGTAAGCTTAGGTTGCCTTTGGCGATCATTACAATGCTGAGATGCAATGACAAGATGATGCAAATTAATTTGTTTCCGTGTAAAAGCGTTCTCGACGGAGAATAATTTCATTGAGTGGTTAAACGGACGAAGAAGATGTAGAAGCGTTAATGACTGAACGCGCAACTTACCTCGGCGTCGGCGACGTTTCTCTCAGCCAAACTGCGGACCTTGCAGTGAAGAAAGGCAGTACCGCCAAGCTGAACGGTCACGTTCGTGATGGTGTTGTTTTCGTTGGCCTCGTTTGCACGTTGCAACTCCTCTAGGTTACTGTACCACAACGCCTTCCAGTCCGACGGTGGCTCGTACGGTAACTGGCGCTCTGCAAAACCACATCAAGCCGAACTTTGAATACTGTGCACACATATACATCTTTCTTCAATAGTTGTCTTTGATTTATATAATTGAGTTCAAGAGTATTGAAAAGGAAATCGACACTAAGAATATTTGTACACTGTCCAATACACGTGTTTACATACACATATACACATATACATACATATACACACACACACACATATCGCGGAGTATTTTTATTTTTCATGGAAGGCTCTCCAGTCGATTTGAAAAAATGTCATTTGTCATAGAGTAAAATCGACATCTACGTTTTTCAGAAAATAAATCGCAACTCGTGATTTAATTTTTCATCAGATCCACACGCGTGTGGTAAAACCACAGTCGCTGGAGAAATCACTGGAAAAATTCATCTTTTGAATTAAATGTTTTCATCCAATTTCACCCGATGCAGACGTGTAAAAAGTAATAACGAACGGTAAAAAAGTAAGTCTCTTGACAATGTAGCTTTCAATTTTCATACTCAGTTCAATTTGCGAGAAAAGAGACAAGAGTGAAAAAAAGATCGAGCGAGTGAGTGGTATTGTAGGAGAGAGATAGAAGAGACAGAGAGCGAGAGAGAGAGAGAGAGAGAGAGAGAGAGAGAGAGACAGGCAGACAGGCAGAGACAGAGAGAGAACTCTAAAACTTGTTCCGGCACCGTGGCAACTAATTCAGCGGGATACAATTCGATGTTTTGTTGCTTCGGTGTTGGTTGCACACTTGCTCATGCCAGTAATTCACGACTGTGAAAGAGAGAGAGAGAGAGAGAGAAAGATAGAGAGAGAAAGAGAGAGAGAGAGAGAGAGAGAGAGGGTGGAGGAAAGGTGACGCAATTTCGAAATAAACTTTTAATTAAAATTCCACGTCGTCGACAATTGGACGTGCAGCTTATTTATTTATTTTTTTGAAGTATGTATTTCAAAACGTTTGATCAATAATTGAGTTGACGGAAAAAGTAATATTGAGACATTAAGGTATCTCGATCGATATGCATAGACAAACGATCAATGAAAAAATTTCGTCGTGATTTTCCTTTAATCGTTTGGCAAACATATACATGAAAGACGCTCGAAAAAATTATTTTCGACAAATATTCATACATAGAGTGTGACTAATCAATCTTAGAATGTATTTTGAGCAGAGGTTTCTTCATAAAAACATTAAAAATCAACTATATTTACCAAATGTCATTTATGTTTATATTGATAATGAAAAACTGAATGTTGTTGTACCTCGTAATTAAGCTGTCCGGAGAAACATAATTGATTTTTTAATATTTTATGAAGAAACCACTGCTACAAACATTAAAAGACTGATTAATTACTATTTAGTAATAAACATTTGATGATAATAATTTTTTCGAGTACATTCGATTTATTTTTAGGTAAACAACTGAAAGGATGTTGCGACGTAATTTCTCCATAGACTATGCGTATTTATGGATATTGAGGAGGGGGACCTAAATTATCTTCGCAACTTTTCGACGTTGTATTAACGAGCATCGCGTTTGCTTGTATTGTACATCGTCAGCATTTGTATACCACAATCTTTAATTATTTATTTGAAGCTATAGTCTTCGCAACTGCTGCAGTTTAATGGCGCGAGAGGATTATTTTTAGTGAAAGCTATTATCAACGTGTGCGTTCATTATTCAATTTCATTATATATAATGTTTGCGTGGTAATCGAAATCTATATGTCAAATACTTGGTTAAAATTTTAGGTATTTGTTGCGAGCAAAAGTTATTAATGATGACCGTGAGAAAGAAAGATATTAAAAATAATTATTACTGGTATTTTGGGCTGACGAACGAGAGTTTATACTACTGTAGTATCCAAACTCAGGCGAATGGTAGATTAGTAATCTATATTTCTAACTTGAAATAACCATCATTTACCTTACTAGCATTACTACAATACATCATCTACATACTTACGAGAATCATAGTAATAGGCTTTAACTGATTGATTAGCCAAAAAAATATTGTTATTCGGCATACTTTCTCGGATTTGGTACATACTGGAATTAACGACAAACTGTTTAGTAAGCATTTCTCAATCAACATGTTTACTGTATTCGGTTGAGTCCGATTAAAAAATATTCAATGCATGGTTAGCGCGTCGTAGTTCAATTAAAATAACGGCTATAAAGGAATGGGGCGGAATAAGCCGATCTCGTTCTCTGCGATGAAATCGAATTAAAGACGCTGATAGAATATATACGTGTACATGCGCTTGCGTACAAAATAATATATATCCGAATGGAATTGTCGGGATGAGCGATTTGAGATTTAAAAAAGAGAGAGTAGGATAGAAAAGGGACTGGGCCAGAAGCTCGTTTCGCTAAAAGCCCTCGGCAGATATGAATAAAGCCTCGCAGTGCTCATTGTCGCCAGACTTACTTTGGCCCGTTACTGTTTCTCCCAGTAATAAGGGTTTCATTTCTCTCTCTACTCTCATGTACAGCGCTGGCTTTCTAGTACATCTCTTGATGAGCTAATTTGCTTTGCTGCCTGCTCCTTTTCTAAGAGTGACATATTTCGTTGAATATTTGCGTATATAGTTTGCTCGACTCTCGCGTTACTGAGGTCACATATACTTTGTGCAATTCCAACGTTCACCTTACTCTCTATTAATCATCCTAATATTACGATGTCGTGCATCTTACGTCTTCGTAATAATTACATGAAAAACTTTAGAGCTTTCGAGAAAATGAAGACAAAGTTTAAAAAAAAATGCATCGTGATGCAACACGAGAACGAGAAGAAATTCCCTTGAAAAAAGCATCTAGTTGGAGCTTTTTTTCCCCTGTGACTATATGAATTTATGTAATATCAGTTGCACACCATTGGCAATGGAATCCTTCAGTATCTAAACGTAAGAGATAGGGAAAGCGACGCGGATCTGAAGCCTTTGTATTTTACATGACTAAGTAAATAGCCAGCTGAAAATGCAAATTCCTCTTCAAAGAGCGTTGGCCCAACTCTCATTATTATTAGCATTGTCGTCATAATTACTATTACATCCACCAAGCTCGCGCGCCGAGAAGTTGTCCGTCTAAACACGTAGTCTCGAAACTTGCCCGTGTCCACAGTACGCTTAACTCTGTTACAAATCGGCTTTTCATATTCAATTTCCCGTACGACTCTCTCTCTCTCTCTCTCTCTCTCTCTGTCTCGCGACTCTCCGGCTTTATTGTTAGCACAATTTTCCCACTGTAATGCAAATCGCTGCGCCGCGCGTTTTGATTCTTTTTTGTTATTTTTATTTTGTTTTACTTGTAAATAAGCCTTGGAAAATTTAATTTAAAAAATCGCATTGTTCAGGTAATAGTGTACAGCGACAGGGTATCAGTATTCCGGATGAGGGAAATATTTACATTTGAAATTTTCAATTTTGAGAATTTTCTGGTTTCGTGGATATTGGTATTTTCGTAAATATTTTGAGTTTACTCCAACATTTACTATAGCCATGATTTTTCAATAAATAAATCGGATTTCGTTATCAAGCTCACTGAAAGGAATCGAAATGGCAGTTACTTCCTGGAATCACTTATACTATCATTTAAAAAACAATAAAAAAGTATAAATATTGATAATGTAATTTGTAGATTGATTTGCAGGAAATTAATGCATAAAGCCATATGCCGACTAATATTAGTGTTGCAAAACAGATAGCTTTATTCTGTATTCAATGCAATATAAACGTATATGCAATTTTATTCTAAAATGACTATTTTATTCTAAATTCTAAAATTTTTTAACAGGTAAAATAATTACTCAATTCATTTAGGTCTAAAAGAGTTCGTTTTTTTTACGTGGATTTCTCGTGGTAAACTTTGTTTTCGACCTTACAGAAACTATAAACCTCGATTTTCCTCGGCGGAAACGCTTGCACTGAGAAACAATCACCTCTCGGCGACAAACAACAATTAGAGCTCTGGGCAAACTTTGATCGAGCTCGTTGTACGAAATCCAAACTTGGAAGCCTTCTGGCTTGCCTAATTGTAGGGTATCGTTGGTACGTGGCTTGCCTAGGTCAAACCAAGCTAGTGATAATGGAGAAAGAGAGATGTTACTGCATTTACTGAAGAAAATTAAAGCTATTTGCAACGAACGTTATTCGCGCGAATTTATTTTCGAAATTGTTTTGCGGTTTGGTTAGAATTCACTTCGCGTACGTTATATTGAGTTGCCTTTTACTTTATGCAGAGTCTGCTTCAACCTTATCAAAGATGACGTCAAGTTCAACACAGTCACGTAGCGATATTGTGTAAATAATTTCATCACATAACTGTACAGTAGAATTATAACGAAATAATTATGGATATTTAAACCACTTAATAAAGATGTAGAATTATTTTCTTTAAAAATGATTAAAATCTTCAATTGCATTTCAAATATTATTTGACTTAGATAATTTACCATTGATTAACATTGAACGTTAACTTAATGCAAAATTTCTACAGCTCCTATCTATGTGACAATGTGTTCGGCACCTCACCGTAAAGTGCGTACTTGAAGCTTAATAATCATTTTCGGGTAATGAGGTTGTTAGCTAACTTATGGCTTCATCAGAAGACATTAGAAATGCTTGGGATTGTCATGGCAACCATCGTTTTTCCGCATTTATAGAATATTCATATTCATAATAACTAGTTACGTAATATTATCAATAATGCCAAACACTTACGTATGAATATGACTCTTCCGTGAATGACTTCATAATCGCTAAAAAAAATTTAATTAAACGTACCTTATTATGTTATAACTAACTTTGTACTGTAGATTGTTAAAAAGTGAAAAATATCTTCGTTTTATCGTCTTTCTAGAGATTGAAGTAAAAATAGATAGCTTATTTGGTCTGAAAAAATGTTAGTATAAATAAGACAAACCTAATACTGTGAAAACTTCGCAACAGCAGTTCACTGGGATAAGGAAGAATGAATTAATAAAATCGAAGACAAAAGGGGAAAAAGCATGTTTAA